ATCAAATGTAACGTAGTATCCACATGCAGTGCAGCTGATGCGCGACGCTGGGCGCGAGGTGACGTTAAACCACACGTGCTACGGTCATTGGTTTTTTACTACTCGTTTGCATTTTGCCCTTTTAACTTGGAAATGTAAGGGATTGTAGTTCAAAGCTTGCTCTGCTGCCATAAAAAAAAAATTTTTTAAAAAGCAGTCTTATGCAATAACACTTGGAACTTTAAACGTAATTTTCTTTATGAAAAAAATCTTGAATCCCAAAACCGATTACACTATTAAAGAAATGAGATCGAAATCAACCGATTTATCTGTATTAATTTTTTATTAAAGTTTCTTATTTTCCTCTGTTAGCGAGTTTAACAGAGTGTCCTTCACTAAAAAAATGAGCCACGTGCTTATAGTGGCTGGAGCTCAATAAAACTACTCATATATCATTGGCAATCAGAGATTTACTATTGTACAAACCTGTTAAGCTTTTTATCTCTGTCCCTACTTTATTATTACTTAAGCAATGAACAACTCATACTTCTGTATTTTTTAATTATTGACTCGGAAAACTTTTGAAGCCACAGAAGTATTAATTACGTAAAGTTCTAACATGTGTAGGTATAATGATTTTTAATTTTACTGTAGGGAACATGATAAATAAACATCTAGTAACGTATACACTTAAGGTCAGTTTAAAGTAACTTAAATATACAGTGCATTTTTCAATCTTTTTACCCGGTATAAGCTTCTAGTTTCACCTGAAAAAAAAAAAAAAAATCAACAAATAAAGAAAAAAAAAAGAAAGAATAATAACTTAATTTTTTTTTAATATATTGATATAAGTAATTAGCTTGAAGAACAAAAAGAAAAAAAAGTGATGACCGACACTTTGATGAAGTGCATGGGCTGGGACCCAACGTATTAGCAAGAGATTGTTGATGAGTACGACTACGAAGGAAAAAAATTGAGCCTAATACCCTTAGCATTTTCGTGTATCAAGGCTTTAACTGGTTTTTACTAACGTTAGATACCAATAACTGTATAAATACGCCTACTTAGACCCACTCACATACTTAATTTAAATTACTTTGTTTAAAGTTTTATAATTTTCCATATTTACAAGCACAAAATATGAAACGAAGCATAACAGAAATATTCAAATCAATATTCGTCTAAAATTCGACTATACCCACCCACATACATAATTTAAATTTCATATACATTGATTTTTTTGTAGAAAATCTTATAATTTTCCATTAAACATTAAATCAATTTAAAAAAATGGATTTGTCACGACAACTGATTTTTTGGCTCTTACCATCCGTCAAATGGCATTTTATGTCCAAAACCCGCTACAAAAAAATTCTTGTCTAGAAACTCAATTTATTTTAAAACGGAAAATAAAAATCGAAGGTTTATCAGAATTGGACATTGGAATGTATATAAATCTCTGACTTTACACATACATACATCTACTAACACCTACATACCTATTTTGTTTTCTATATTTTACATAATATTTTTTTTCTGCAATTAATTTTATTATATTTCATTTTTTTAAACATATCGTAGAATCGACGCTAAATGCAAAAATAAAAATTGTTTAAATAAAGCTGGTTTTTTGAAGTCAACAAAATTAAAATAAAACAATAAAACGATAAAATTAAAAATTTTTTAAGCACTTATCACTGTCTAAATACAAAAAAAACCTATTTCAATTTAAATAGGTCATGAGATTCCTAAGATATGCATAATCACAAGAGAGAGAAAGAGAGAGAGAGAGAGAGAGAGAGAGAGAGACGAACACAGACGGACATTCTTGTCAGAGAACTTTACTTTAATCCTAGACTTTTGAAAACATTTTAATAACATGTTAACTCGATATGCAATTTTTCGCTTATGAAAAAGCTTTTTCTATGAGGACGCAAAAACTGACAAAATATCAGCGTTCATTTACACGATATCTGTAGTGCATGTTTATTAAAAAAAATTCATGAAATGCATTTGTGTGCAAAACCGATTTATTTCGACTGAATGAAATATGCCCTACATTTTTTATGGATCCATAAAGTATAGAGTTATAAATTTTTTAAATAAAAAAAAGGTAACGATATTTTTGTTGGTTGAACAAATAGTAATTATAGCTGTTTTTAGTCATCAGAAGAAACTGTTAACAAAATCTTATAAGAAATTGTAAAAGAATCAATTTTTTTTAAAGTGTAGTATTCAATGATTTCATGGAAAAAATTTTTAGTAGTACTTTCTGCCATAAAAGTGCTATCGTCATCAAGGCGATTATTCGGCCAAATGAAGGACAAGATAGTCCTAGTTGAATGGCGTTTGTGTGGCAAATGCTGTTTTCCTACGTATAAATTGTACACGAAGTGGTCTGCTTATTTATCGAGATAAGTAAGGCCAACAATGATACGATGCTGGGACGTCACATTTAATATTCTGAAAAATAATTTTAATTGCACCCTATTTATGTTATAGATATATTTATGATACAATCTTATGTATACCATCCGATTCTATTTATACAATCCTAGATGTTATCAATAGCTGTCATGTACAATCTTAATTTACCCATGAAATTTAAAATAATGAGTCCATTGACTTGATAGAGGACTTTTACTTTCACATCAAAAATTTCACAAAAACAGTATAATAAAAGTCGAATCCCTACTAAGCCAGAATAATTGTTTAAGAGAACTCTATGGTTCTATAATTAAACAACGTTCACACAAAAATACAACAAATATTAATGACAGTCAGAATAGTGATGGTCCATTGAATAATAATACTTTCAACTCTTTTCGCTCTTTTACATATCCCTTTTTAATAATAACTTGTTTAATAAATCCAAAAAAATCTTTGCCAAAAAAAATTTTTTCGTCATACCCGTAATTAACAGTACGTTTAGCCTCTCAGTTTGGGTAGGCACAAGACTAATATGTTAGAAATAATAAATATTACATACTGCTTAAAATATAATAACAGCAGCGCTGAATACGTAGGTCAAACCGAACGTCAACTAAAAATAAGATTTAAGAAACATATTTGCTCAAAGGGCAACTTGGTGATGTCTGCACACATACGGGAATCAAAACATTTGTTTTGTAAAGACAGCATAAAAACTTTAGATATAAAAAGTAATTGACAAAAAGACTTACTTCTACAACAGTTTCTATTAATTTTAACAGCAACAGTATTAGCAAACAAGATTCAAATAAACTCAGTAATATATAAAAAAATATTCTGTCTCAAAGTGATAAATAGTCTAACAACTATACATGACTTTGAATTGTACCAATTTCCAATAAAAATCTCACTTTAAATATCACGTATTACCTAGTCATTATTGTGTGTATGATCTGCTGTTGTTTCGGTGCATGTGTACTATAATCCAATGTATACCTATACTTGACCGAAGAGCTCCACTGCCATTTTTAATAATTTTTACAGTTTTATTACATTCATAGTGACATGCGTATTTATTGTGCTTATTGACTGTATTGACATTGTCAATTGTTGTCCAAAGTTCTCTGTATTAATGTATATTTACAAACGATCTTTCATTTATATGTATTTTGTGATGAATGTATTAAGTCTACTACGTAACCGTACTGCTTAGCCATAGTACGACTAAACGTTCATAAGTTAATATCGAATTTAGAGTTGGAAACACGCCTGTACAGTTAGTATACTTAAACATTGTAGCTCTAACTGATGAGGCCAAGGGAAGTTGGCGAAACGTTGTCAAAAATATAAACATTATCAATAACATCAAGTGATCGAAGTTTAATTTCACCCTCTAAGACCAACAATGTCTCAACAATTTATCTATTTATTTATGATAGTTGTACGAACATTAAAAAAATATCTATAATTGAATGTACTAAGCCTAAAAAATTAAAAAATTTACATTATCAGACATTTTATTTTGCATTCTGTACTGAAGTAAATAGAAATTCTACCAAGAAAGGTGCTGTGTGCAGTTAATAGTGTATGGTAAAAATTATTATACGTTTCTACTTGCAGAGCTTAATAGGTCAATTTCTTTTTATCTCTTTGGTTTTACTTAATAGTCATACATAGTATCATTGTATAACAATAAATAATGGGGTGTTGGTACGAAGAGCATGCAAGGGGTTAAGTTAGTCACTTCGTATACTTTACCAAGTATACATTTAAAAGACTGACTGCTTTGATTGACAGAGTTGACAAAGTTTGGAGAATTGAACTGCAACTTATACGCAGATTTGAACAATCAGAAATGAAAAAAAAATCAGGCATTACTGAATATCTATATCTGTGATTGATTGTTCGTTTTATAATTATTTAATACATGTATATCTACAATGGCTTACTTTTTTTATGGGTCAACTTTTTGTAACACTATGAATGTTCAATTTAAAAGTCATTAGGTTAGGAATGTCAATTTTTTATTTTACATTTCTTTAAAGTATACACACTCACAAACAGTGCACACACACACATATATAATGTTTTTGTTTATAGAAAATTTCAGTGAAGTTGATCTTGAAAAAGCTACTCTTTTTTTTACAGGACACTAATAATACGAATGAAGAAGTACATCAGTCTCACTGCACTAAGTTGTCTGTTGCTAGACATTCGCGAGGAAAATGTATTCCGTGCCATTATAGGATTTCATTAAAATAGAAGGCATGCAAAGATGAACAAAAAATGGATAAACTTTACTATAAAATTAAAGAAAAATTTAGTTTTTATTCAACTGCTAAAAACTGACGAATCACAGGAAGTAAAATGTAATTGTATAACAATGATATCTATTTTCTTATTCAAGTGATCTTTCAAGCACTAGATATTAAACAAAGTTTCATCGCAACATATCAAAAGCAGTATCTTATAATTTAGTTATGAAAAGCCAATGGACAATTAAATATATTACCACTGTTACTGTACATCAATTTCCTTAGTTAAAGTTAATATTATTTTTTAAGCTATTTACATTATAGACTAGAATATACCTAAAACAGTTGTGCTAGGTGAACTGTAGGTAAGATAATCTTTATTTGAACACCAGGCTGGAAATTCCTTTTGTTTAACAGGTTGCCCGAAATCATTATCCTCCTCTCTTTTCCATGGCAAAACTTTTTCTGTCGCAGTAGGTGTTATATCATTATGAAATTCACCTACAAATTGATAAAAAATGAGTATTGGAACAAAATATTAAATAAAGTAAATTCAAATAAAATTAAAACATTAATAAATTAATTATTAATAGTTTTTATAAGTAAAGGAATATTTATTGTAATAGTTGTACCAGTTAATACAAACATTACTTCTTATAAAATGTTTAATGACCTTTACTAACATAGCTGTACAATTAAATATTAGTACTATGTTTCTTGCAATCCATAGACTCTTAACAAACAGTTAGTGTTATTCGCTCCGAGCATGACACGCAGCGCCGCCCT